TCAATTATCATATTACATATTTCCCTGGTCATACCTAAGCCCAGGTGCCTCGACATCAGGGAAAGTAATTGATGGGCGTATACCCAAGAATACCTCAGAAAAGATGAATTTGTTTATTATTGTAACCATGTTACATGTGTACCACTTTTGAAGAATTATCCAAATTATATTTTTCATTCACCATGGGAAATATTTCATCTTTTTTAGAAAATAAAATTGCAAAAATGTGATTGAATTATGCTGTGCCAGTTAAAATTCACTTAGTGGCAATTCTTACCATTGCACATGTGTACATAGCTATATGCCTTGATCTGCTTCTGCAGTTGATTAAAAATAGATTTAAACATTATTCTGGACTGTATATGGAATAATGATCAAGTTAAATACATGTACACATACAAAATGTACGTACTGATCCTACTATACAAGTTACCAAATAGTGAAAAATAGTAATTTTCATTTCTTTCTTTCCTTGGCGAGATGCAAATCAAAATTACTTCTTAAATTTAATAAATCCGATTTTTTTTTAAATGCAAAAAAATAGGTTATAAGAATTTTTATTTGTGAGTGCATAATCAAAAACACAAACTGTTCATTTGCATAACTGATCATAATTCCTCAATTAAAAAATGAAAATGCTTAATTGTTTGAAGCCAGTAATATATTTACAGCCCCATGCACAGGATGCATAGTAAACATGATTATTAATTTTTAAGTCAATTTAATCCATGATTTTATACAATATATTCGAAATGATCACTGGACATGGATGAAAGAAACTTACAGTGCATATACAAGCTAAGGTTGGGAGAATTAAGAGTTATACATCAATATACGGCTTTATTCACACACAACTTTTAACTGACATCTGAAACTAACAGAAATTTTTAGATAAATACAATTCCTCACAGTCATTCAAGTGATACAGTGTAGAATTACTTCCCAATTGAGATGTATAATGTGTAGTTTGTGAACGTCTGTCGTGATGCCAAAGTTCAATCAGCTGCATGAACCAATTAGATCACAGGAAATCATATTATGAAACTGCTACGATAGTATGCAACTGTCTTGATATATGGAATAAAAAAAGATGTCTTAGAGACATAAAAAAACATGAGAAAAATTTTAATTAAATCTAGGGGGAATAAAAGCATTACAGTCTGGCTATATGATTGTAAATTGAAGGAAAGAGCAGGGGTACTTTACAGGAATACTGTGTACACTAAAGCACAGATTAGTGTGACAGTTTCTTTAGACGTAATAACTTTAGGAATGATTGTCATGCACACACACCTAAGGTGTTTGTTGTGTCTGCAGCAAATGCGTTTGATACCTTGCATAGTAATTCCTATGAAGCATGTGAAATCAGACAATGCTGCCACCGATTGTATCAAACAAATCAAAGCAGGAATTTATGTGTGCATATTTTGCCATATTCTTCTGATTACCTCATTATTAAACATTTTTTTTCCACCGTTTAGTAATAATTGCATTCGTGATGGATTCCATGCATTTCCACATAACGTGTTGTCATGTGTAAGTATGAAATGATTGTTGTTTGCTTTGATTGCAGGTGTTGTCTGCAGCTTCTGCAGCCGGTGTATCTGTGGCATTCGGTGCTCCTGTTGGTGGTGTCTTATTTAGTTTAGAAGAGGTATGTATTTAAGTAGGGTATCTTATTTATCAGTACATGTGTAAACTTAAGACAAAGTTCAATTTTGATGTACGTGTCCCACACATATAATTTTGGAGATATTTGTGAAAATGTGTCTCTAAAATACCATTGACTTAACATTGGCTGTAATGTAAAATCTGTATTAGAAGCCGTGGCTTCTATTAAAAGGGAACAGAAGTGATGCAGTTTTTATTAGAGCATCTACACATCTGAAAAATAGTAAATTTGGGGTTTTCAATTGAAAATTTCAAAAAAGAATGGGTACGACTTCTATTAGGGATGTGACTTTTAATACAGATTAATGGTACTTACCGTACTATGCAAAGTATGTCACCTAATGCATTGTACTTTTGATCTGTTCCTGATACCAATCATTGATTAATGGCTAAGATTAAGGATTTAATACATTATCAAGTTTAAGTTTATTCTATGATTTGGTTCTATCTGTTCCATCATTTCTCAAATATGCTTTCACAGATTTTGCTCAAAGTTGGCTGAAAAATGCAAGACATAATGCATGTTATTTGTTTTTGGATTTTCTGAAATTTTACTGACTGGCTGTGGTTTTTGTTGTAAAATGGACATTTTCACATGTCATTAACTGTTTTTGTTGTAAAATGGACATTTTCACATGTCATTAACTGTTTTTGTTGTAAAATGGACATTTTCACATGTCATTAACTGTTTTTGTTGTAAAATGGACATTTTCACATGTCATTAACTGTTTTTGTTGTAAAATGGACATGTTCACATGTCATTAACTGTTTTTGTTGTAAAATGGACATTTTCACATGTCATTAACTGTTTCTGAGACATGCTTGGCTGATTTTGTTGATAACTGTCGCATGTTCTTTTGTTTTAGAATTTTACTGGTGGCCATTTTGTTTCATTGTCTGTGTGTCCTTTTTTGTTTCCTTGACACACTTTGACTCATTTTGTTCACAAAAACGAGATATTTTCAGATATCAAATTCAATACTCATATTGGATTACCATTGGATTGATTTTTGATTAATTTATAAATAATTAATTAATATTCAGAAGCTTAAAATTACAGTTGAAAGCTGTTGACCAATCACAACAACAGTGATTATGATGTCATTTATGCAGATAAATATAATTTCAAAAATATCATAGTGCAACTGACTTTGTACATGAAGGGTGTTACAAAAGATTGTCCCAATGACGAATCACAACCTCTTGTTTAAATCTGAATCTACATTCACTTATCCATGGGTAATCAGAAATTGGTGTGTTGCATTGTAGCATTTATATACCGTATTTACTCTATTAGAAGTACAGATAAACCAAAGATTGCATTTACTAAATCATTAAATTTTGAACATTGAAACGCCTCAGTCTGTAATTTGCACAAGTGCATGTGTAGTGTATGAACAAATATATCTTTAGTTGAACAAGTTAAAATATAGTATGGGGACTATGGTAATCATCTATTGGGAGATAATTTGGTGTGATACGTTGCTAAAATGCATGTCAGATGACATTTAATCATTTTATATAACAGTGTACATGTGTATTTCTTGGCTAATAGTTTTTGTTTTTCATTGTGATGGTAATTCTCTTACTTATTTGTGAACAAACTGTGACTAGAATAGTAAATACCTTGAGTAATGATATACTAAAGGTAGTTTTCAACTGTACAAGATACAGTATGCGACTCGCAAGGACTCATTTGTTTTGACATTATCACAAGAAAGGTTATATCTCTATTTTGGTTTTTGTACAACAATTTGTTAAAATTTGTAAATTGCATTGAGAAGTAAATAACGACTGGCTGGTACAAGTAATTGAGATAAAAGAATTACAGTGATCATACTGTCGTCCATTAGGTCTCCATTATTTGACTTAACTATCAACATATTTTCCATAGCTCTATCTGTTTAGCATGACAAAATATAAGACTACCATAAAAATAAATGTGTTTGCGTCTTTTTTCATTCAGACATCCATTCAACTGATAATTGTTTAAGCTTTTTTTTGTAATTTGCAAACTTCACAAACAACTGTAAAATTTTGTATTCTTTTTGTTCACATTTTAAATTTGCGTAACTTGCCGTAGAAATTATTTATAACAACAGAAATCAGAAAAAAATATAGCATGTTGCAAAGTTTATTAAATTGTCCTGAATACTCAGGTGATCACTAACCGCGTATTGTATATCATATCAGTAGTAATTATACCTAAATGTGAACAACAAACTTTTACTTCTGATGTCAACATATCTACAGCTAAATTCAATCAGAATTGAATTTTCTTAAAAATTAGAAATTGTCATCAGGTTGAAAAATACTACATCTGTGTGGTCAGGTTGAAAGATACCTACATCTGTGTGGTCAGGTTGAAAGATACCTACATCTGTGTGGTCAGGTTGAAAGATACCTACATCTGTGTGGTCAGGTTGAAAGATACCTACATCTGTGTGGTCAGGTTGAAAGATACCTACATCTGTGTGGTCAGGTTGAAATATACATACATCTGTGTGGTCAGGTTGAAAAATACTACATCTGTGTGGTCAGGTTGAAAGATACATACATCTGTGTGGTCAGGTTGAAAGATACCTACATCTGTGTGGTCAGGATCTGTGTGGTCAGGTTGAAAGATACCTACATCTGTGTGGTTAGGTTGAAAGATACCTACATCTGTGTGGTCAGGTTGAAAGATACCTACATCTGTGTGGTCAGGTTGAAAGATACCTACATCTGTGTGGTCAGGTTGAAAGATACCTCCATCTGTGTGGTCAGGTTGAAATATACCTACATCTGTGTGGTCAGGTTGAAAGATACTACATCTGTGTGGTCAGGTTGAAAGATACCTACATCTGTGTGGTCAGGTTGAAAGATACATACATCTGTGTGGTCAGGTTGAAAGATACTACATCTGTGTGGTCAGGTTGAAAGATACCTACCTCTGTGTGGTCAGGTTGAAAGATACCTACATCTGTGTGTGTCAGGTTGAAAGATACCTACCTCTGTGTGGTCAGGTTGAAAGATACCTACATCTGTGTGGTCAGGTTGAAAGATACCTACATTTGTGTGGTCAGGTTGAAAGATACCTACATCTGTGTGGTCAGGTTGAAAGATACTACATCTGTGTGGTCAGGTTGAAAGATACCTACATCTGTGTGGTCAGGTTGAAAGATACCTACATCTGTGTGGTCAGGTTGAAAGATACCTACATCTGTGTGGTCAGGTTGAAAGATACTACATCTGTGTGGTCAGGTTGAAAGATACCTACATCTGTGTGGTCAGGTTGAAAGATACCTACATCTGTGTGGTCAGGTTGAAAGATACCTACATCTGTGTGGTCAGGTTGAAAGATACTACATCTGTGTGGTATACATACTGTGAATGCATTAATTGTTCACTGTTTTTAATTCCGCTATTTTCGCCGATAAATAAAATCTACTAAATTAAATCTATGTGAATATGTAAAGTAACAATTCAAATCATTGTTTTCTCAACAAATTTGTGAAATTAAAACACAGTGATTATGCTCAAAACATCAAAATAGAGAAAATAAATGGTTTTACAGTATGCAAGGTGTCATGTTATAAGATAGTTAATCTTATGTTCATTGCCGCAATACATTTTATATGACTACCTTAAATGACTCTAAGTGCTACAGTTGTACCGCATCACATATTCAAATGTCATGTAAATTTACAATGTATTTTGAATGCATCGCTGCAAGTCCTATATCAAACACAACATGGTGGGACAATGCTAGCGATTTAATACATGGAATTATTTGAACTTGTGTCGTCATTTTGATTGGGAGATTTAAGCCCACTTGAAGCTGAGCGTTGTGTACGCTAGAATTTCTCTTCTAAAGTAAATAATTATCTGTGTAAAGCAAGACAACTTCTTCATCTCTATGTCTGAAATATTTAGTTTTTTGTATATAAATTCATCCTATTATTTCTCACACTATTTAAAGTGAGTTATTTACTCATGCAATCTATCAGTATATGTACTTTACTTGTAAATTATTTTTCACCTTGCCATCGTTGTCATACATTCATTATTGTTGTATATTCTTCCCCATATCAGGTCAGTTATTATTTTCCAATGAAAACACTATGGAGGTCGTTCTTCTGTGCATTGGTGGCTGCATTTGTATTGAGAACTATTAATCCATTTGGTACTGACCATTTAGTGATGTTTTATGTGGAATATGACACGCCATGGTTCTTCTTTGAGTTAGTACCATTCCTCCTACTAGGTGTATTTGGGGTAAGTAACGATACCAGTAATACTGATCTCATCCTGTGATACAGGAGTAATGATACCAGTGATACCGATCTCATCCTGTGATACAGGAGTAACAATACCAGTAGTATCGATCTTATCCTCTGATACAGGAATAACAATACCAGTAATACTGAACTTATCCTGTGATACATGAGTAACAATACCAGTAATACTGATCTCATCCTGTGATACAGGAGTAATGATACCAGTGATACCGATCTCATCCTGTGATACAGGAGTAATGATACCAGTGATACCGATCTCATCCTGTGATACAGGAGTAACAATACCAGTAGTACCGATCTTATCCTGTGATACAGAAATAACAATACCAGTAATACTGAACTTATCCTGTGATACAGGAGTAACGATACCAGTAATACTGAACTTATCCTGTGATACAGGAGTAATGATACCAGTGATACCGATCTCATCCTGTGATACAGGAGTAATGATACCAGTGATACCGATCTCATCCTGTGATACAGGAGTAACAATACCAGTAGTACCGATCTAATCCTGTGATACAGGAGTAACAATACCAGTAATACTGAACTTATCCTGTGATACAGGAGTAACGATACCAGTAATACTGAACTTATCCTGTGATACAGGAGTAACGATACAGTAATACTGAACTTATCCTGTGATACAGGAGTAACAATACAGTAATATCTATCTCATAATGTGATAAATTTATATATGTATTAATTTTTCAATTGCTTTTTTGTGTTTCTTTTGTGTAGGGTCTTTACGGTGCATTCTTCATCAAAATGAATCTGAAATGGTGTAAATATCGTAAAACAAGTAAACTAGGAAAATTTCCTGTGGTTGAGGTAATGTATTCAATTTTATCAATCCTATGTTTCTCTGGTATGAGGAAAGAGAGAGCATTTTCACCAAGGACTTCAATTTATGTATATTTAAATGAACTGTGAGTGTTAAGTTTCAGTTCAATGCTTTAATTGATTGTGAAAATAGTTTTATTTTGTGCTCTCACATACCGTGCTACAAAGGGCAATGTTTATTTGCAGGTTATAACATTGGCACTAATTACTGCAATAATATCCTATCCCAATCCTTATACAAGAATGAGTTCAAGTCAACTTATAGAATTATTATTTAATGACTGTGGACCTGAAGATAATTTTAAACTATGGTATGTATGTCATAATATAGGGATAATGTAGTGGTAAATTTATGTTTAAACTTAAACATCAGAACTAACGATTAACCGGTCCACAATGGCTGGGTTTCTGATATAAACCCATCACTAATCCACAATTGTGAATTACTACAGAATATCAATTCTCTTTCATCGCCAGTGTCTAAGATGAATTTCAAAACATGTTTTTTTCTTGGAAAATGATCAATGAGTGTCAGTTTCTCACTCTGTCTCAAACTTTTTATTGATAGTAAAAGGGAAGGTACTGTAGTTGTATTCATAAGTGGGCATCATGCCTTTACTGCCAAAACAAAGTAATTTGTTACCTTCAACATTGAGGGCTATCTTTTATTTTTCAGTAACTACAAACACAACTACACACTTATGTTGCATACTGGGAATGTAGCAGCATCACCAGCTGGTCCCGGTGTTTATGAATCACTATGGTTACTGCTATTAGCTTTAATTTTCAAAGGAGTTATCACAGTATTCACCTTTGGCATCAAGGTAAGTCTTGACAAGGAGCATTGACGGAATTCAATCAATCATTTTATTTAACCTCAGGAAACATAGCACAACAAACAAGTAGCACACAAGTGGTAATATGCTAATAAAACTAAAATTTTACCAATAATTCATCAAATTGAAAGTTACATCACAAGTCATGAAACAGAAGAAAAAAAAAACAAGAAAGAAATAAAAACACCACATTCACGCTGGATAATAAGTGCAATCAGAAAAACTATCATTTTAATTCTTTTTAAAAAAATACTTTTAGTATAGATTGTCAGTAGATTTGATAGCTGCAATCGAGCTGATTCAACAATTTAGGAGCCTGATATGGAAATAAATGCAGACTATATTCAGTAATGTTAACTGATTGTAAATTTTAAATTCTTATAACCTTTTAGGTTCATATTTTTTTTTTGAGGTATCATATAATCATGTAGAAATTCTAAAATCGACAACTTTTAAATAATTGGTTTTTAGAGTACAGAAATTATGTACCGGTAATATAATTTTTAATTGATTACAAAAACATTAGTTGGCATGTATTTGCATCATTTGTTGTCAGAAAGTGACATTTCTGTCAAAACACAATCATTATGTAACATTAGTGTCAGCATATGAGTTGAATTGAGTATTTGTAGCATGATGGGGAATTTATGTTTTATTGGTTACCAGGTTCCTGCTGGCTTGTTCATTCCTAGTATGGCAGTTGGTGCATGTGCAGGAAGATTACTGGGTATAGGAATGGAACAAGCTGTATAGTAAGTATTAACAGTCGTAAAGCTACTACTGTATTAGCATTCATATTTATGTAAATAACAGGGGTATATCTATGGTCCAAAAAAGATTATTTAGAATAAAGCACTAAATTTCAGGTTTATATGCACTTCTATTGGAGATGCTCTTCTAATATAGTAAATACAGTGTTATTATATACAGCATACATGTACAAATAGTGTTCTGGGCCGGTACAGGGTCATCTTGTTTTAGGGAATTTGCCTGATTTAATTTCACTTGTATTTTATATAGATCACTATGGTTGTAGCACCATAGCACCATACTCATGATGAGCAGATCCAAGTTCAAATTTAGTCAAGAACTTTAGGTCAATATGGGTTGCCCCTATTCTCTGGGTAATTGTGATCTTTTCTCTGAAGTTCCAATAGACTCACTTAGGAAGGGCAAATCCTTGGTTACGGTCTGCAGGTGCTTGTGTTCAACCATTATGGTGGTCACCAGGCACTGTCCTCTCCTGTCATATTCCAAACAAAGAATATGGTTGCATTGTATATTCTCGGGGATCTTTCATGTCTTAAAGAGCTTTTATCTGGTTTAGGTCTTTGTTGTTCATAACAAATTGGAAAAACCTTCTCGTGAGGTTTTGAAAAACAGAAGTTTAAAATTATATTTCATGTGACTTGGTTATTTGAAATTAGTTTTATTTTGTTTTTATTCTATTGTCTTAGTTGTTGTGTATTCATACTTTTTGTCTTAGTTGTATTTATGTTCAATTGTCTTGGTTGTATTGTATTCATATTTTATTATCTTTTGGTTCATTTTAGTTTCAATAATGACTGGGGAATATTTGAAGATCTTTGTAAACCATCCACACCATGTGTTAATCCTGGTTTGTACGCTATGGTGGGAGCTGCAGCAGCTTTAGGTGGTGTAACTAGAATGACAGGTAAGGTATTCGGGCAACAACTTGGGTATAGTCCTTTAAGCTAAGATATACCAGTAAAAATCCTCTCAAACTGAGTGCATGATATAGTAGGGTAAATTACAATATAGGATGAGAAATGGAGAATGATTCAGAGCGGAATTATAAGGAGGATATAGAAAATAAAGTAGTGATGGCATTGTTGAAAGTGAAGCATATCATAGCAAAGATTAGTGATCATAAATAAATAAATATGGCAGTATGAAGTAGGTATAGCCAGCCAAGTAAGCTCTTCGGAAATTAATCCTTAGATTCTGGGGACATTCATGCATCATCTGACTTATGTTGATCAGATGAATAACACATTGCCAGCTTAGTCCTCCCCTGCCCTCATGATTTTGGTATGTTTGTGGAGGCAATGTGACAATATCATGGGAAACATCAGTTTGAGGGTACGGTTAGGGTAATCCTATTTTAATGACCACCTCTATCTGGAGACAACCTGTCTATAGTGATTGCTTTTAAGCAATTCTGAGATGTAACACATGAACAACATGTATACAAATTACAGCTCTCTTGTTTATGCGACCACCCTTTCAGCAATATCTTTGTCATATTTGCATTTACTTGAAAACTATTATAAATTATTATAATAATTACCATTTTGTTTGTAAGACAAACTTTTTCGATTTTGGTAAACTCAAATGTGTTTTTCTCATTAGTTGAATATTTTGTCAAATGTATGAGTTGGTGATCCAGAAAAAATATTCCAATCTCTTTTATGTAGACCTACTGTCTAACAACTACCGTACTTTTATGTAGACCTACTGTCTAACAACTACCGTACTTTTATGTAGACCTACTGTCTAACAACTACCGTACTTTTATGTAGACCTACTGTCTAACAACTACCGTACTTTTATGTAGACCAACTGTCTAACAACTACCGTAC